GGTATTTAAAATACAAACGAATGGGATCATTAATACAGACAGAGGTGGGTTCTTTTCACTGCTTTGCAGTGCCAGTCTCCTTCCTCCCTCCTCCCCCGGGGGCACCTCTGCCACATCTTTAATGTGTATCTTCATAATCTGTTTTCCTATTTTAACTGCATATATGTGAGCCCATGAATAATAGATAGTTGTGCTGGGTGTGTATTTTAGAAGCACACTTAACGCTGACATGGTGTAATATTATCCTGCAACTTGCTTTTCTTGTTTAACGTTACGTTTTCAAGATTGATCCCTGTTGATATCTATATCTGGTTCATGTCTTTTCAGTGCCGAGAAATGTTTCATGATATGACTGTACCATGGTTTATTTACCTGTCCCACTGTTAATGGGTACTTGGTTGTTTCTGGTTTTTCTGCATTTTAAGAACTTTGCCATAAAGGCCTCTGTGCCTGTGTCCTGACACAGGCATGTGCCCAAGCAGCTTTCAGGCCTCCAGCCACGTTCAGGTAGGCCCAGACCCACCCCGTTGAGCTCCCTTGGGTCCTTTCCGCTCCACCATACAAGCCAGCTGCCTTCGTCCCTCCTTAGCGCTCTAAGCAAGGCAAGTTTTAGGGGAGCCAGGGAGGGATAGAATCGGCATTGTCGCCCCCACCCCACCCCAACTGCCCTTTGGGTCTTGTTTGGTTTTTATTTTATGTTGATACATTTATCATAGCACCATTTAAGGAAACTCAGACATGTCTACTTACCCACATTCCTGCCTCACCAGCACAACTGTTTTCACTTTCCGAGTCCCTTTTAGTCTCTGTCCACATGCATACTTGTCCCTACTTGTCACTGTTCACGTAGCATTGTGTATTCCATATTTTCTATGTAACAGCATATTACAAACAGTTTCCATCTTGCCACAGTCTTCACAATGACCATTTCCATGGTCACACAGTATTTGACCCCACCCACGTGCCCTAACCTGCTCTTCCTGTCCCAGGGTCTGCGTTCCTCCCATTTCCCTTCCCCGCTCCCAGCGCTCTTTGAGTGATTCCTCGCAGCCCCCTCAGATCGTGCTGCCACCTAGAAACAGAAAGGAAGCTCTCTGGGCTGCAACCTGCCTGGCTTCTGTGCCCCAGATGCCCCAACCGCTGCTACTGCCTTTAGAACCCCCTCTTTCCTTGGCAGTAGAAAAGCAACCAAACTAAATGATGGGATAGTCCCCGTACATGTGGCTTTGAGATTTTTATTTTATCTTCACCCAAGGATATTTTCCATTGCTTTTGAGAGAGCGAGAGAGAGAAACACCAATGTGAGAGAGACACATTGATTAGTTGCCTCCACACGTGCCCCGTCTGTGGTGGGGATCGAGCCTGCAACCGAGGAACATGCCCTTGGCCAGAATCGAACCCGGGACCCTTCAGTCTGCAGGAAGACGCTCTAACCACTGAGCCAAACCGGCCAGGGCGGTGTTGAGATTGTTTGAAACACAAAGAGGCTCCTCCCAGGAGGAAACGGTTTGGAAGGGCTCCTTTGGCCTCGTTCTTTCTCCTCTGGGTTTGGAGGGAGATGGTCAGGGTGATTCTTGGGCACTGCTCGTGGTCCAGCACAGCTCCCCAGAGCAGGGGCCTTGGGGCCGAAGCCCTCCCTAGGGGTGCAGAGTATATGCTCTGCGCCCCGAAGTTAAGCTTAGGAAGGTGCAAGTAAAAGACGCCAACTCCAGGCAGACTGCACACGGTTCCTGGAACCTTTGCTGTGGGGGCGACGCTGTCTCTGTCTCCTGTTTCTTTAGCCGCCCCCCTCCAGCCAGTGTAGGGGTTTCTCTGTCCCCCTGGGGCGAGGCACCAGCCTCTGTACCTCGCCTTCCCATGAGCCAGGTAGTCAGCTTAGGGATGATAAAGAATCATGATGAACTTATTTATATCAAGACCTAATATTTATGGCTCACTTACTGTATATCAGATACTCTGCTCAAAAGCATTTTATACTTGTCATCTTATTGATTCCTCACAACCACCAAATAAGATAGGGAACGATCACTACCCCCGTTCGACGGCTGGGGAAATGAGACTCCGAGGAGTTAAGGGACTTCCCCTGATCTTCCTTAGAATTCTAGCTATGCTTTCCCCGCAACCATCCCAGCTGGGAAACGTTAAGTAAAAGCAAAGCAGAGATGAGCTGTTCCTTTTCATTCCCCCCAGAGAAGCCCCTTGCTGGTGTGGAAGTTATTTTGTATAAAGGCATCGATTAGAAATGTTTCATTCCTTTTAAATTTCCCATTAGAGGCTTTGCCCTAATTTCTCCTTAGAAGTCTCTGCTTCAAGGAAAGGGGGCACGGGGAATTTGTGATGGGGAGGAGAGGAAGAAGTGATTGTAATCTCAGCCTCCTTCCCTGCAACCCTGGGGAGGAGGGGAGAGGGAGGTGGGTGGAGCTGCAACCTGTGGATGCAGGGGCCTCTGTGACAGCTCCTCCACCATCTGCTGGCCCGGCAGAAAGAGCAGCTGCTTTTACAACAGGCAGTCCAGGGTTCCTGTCCCAGCTTGACTACTTACTGGCCGGATGACCTTGGGTAGATAACCATACTTTTCGCAACCATCTGCTATGAAGATTGAGGACTGAGCTGGGTAGGAGTGTCTGTCGAGCCTCACACAGAGCAGATCACGGGAGATGCCAGCTTCCCCGCTCCTGCCTGCTTGTTCATCCTGGAGGAAAGCACGCACTTGGGGCTCTCGAGCTAAGCTAACCAAGATCTGGTGATGGGAAGGGGGCCTGGCATGGTGCACTTAGATTCTTTACCCGTCCATGTGCTAGAAATGGACTTCTCTGGGTTGAAATCTGATTGTGGTTATAGTTGCATGCACCTTGTTATCTTGGGCTTTTATACTTGGACTTCAATGCTTAAATACAAGTGTGACCTGCTTTCCCATAATCATGGGGAAGAGGTGGGGAGATCCAAGGCCCAGTGGAGCTGTTCCTTCTTGGAATCAGCCAACTGGGGGCTCTGGTCTTCCTGGTCCCCACAGGCATGGACTTGAGAGAAGCTGCCCCCATGATAACAAAGTAGGCCCTTTAGAGTAGTCCCATGGAGAAACTGAGGCACCAAACCAGGAAGTGGACTTCTTTTTTTAAAAAGAATACATTTTTATTGATTTTTAGGGTGAGAGAGAGAAACATCAGTGAGAGAGAAACACCAATCGGCTGCCTCCTGCACATCCCCACTGGGGATCAAGCCCACAACCCTGGCATGTGCCCTGACCGGGAATTGAACGGGCGGCCTCTTGATGCATGGGAGGACGCTGAGCCACACTGGCCTGGTAGAAGTGGACTTCTTTGCCTTCAGATTTTATTTTTCCTCCCTCTTCTGTCCTCTGTGCCTGTTTACCCTCCACAGACCAACTCAACATCCTACGTCAGGCCGGCTGCTGTGTCTAATCATAGCAGTGGGCAGGCCCCGGTTTAACCCGACACTTGTAATTGCCCAATTTAAGAAATACACTGATTCTCTGATTAAAGAACTTTTGCCAAAGCATTTTTGAGATCGGGCATGGCGATGGGAGGCACCCCTCTGCAGCCCCAGCCTCCGGTAAAGCTGCTGACTCAGAGCCCAGCCCAGTGCTCAGGGATGGAGGCAAACCCAGGCCTCTAAGGAATAATGTGTGGCTGTGAGGATGAGGCTGGAAACGCCCAAGCGTCTTGTGCTCCAACACACAGCTTCCCCAGAGGCCTGGACAGCTCGGAACGCACCTTAAAGCCCCGTGAGAACGGCTGCGCTGCCCTGAGAATGGCTGTCCCCCAGGGCCCGTTTCTCTCTGGGCCTGTCCCCTAACACGCCGAGCCGCTTCTAATAGGTGAGAGCACAGTGGATCCGTTTACTCCTTTTGAAGACCGGCCCACCACCACATGCCCGTGGCACCGACTGCCGTGGAAGGTAGAAAACACCAAGGCCACATTTCTGGTACCTCAGCGTACTCCCCATGGAGAAGTAAAATGTCAGTGGAGCAAATTACCGACACAATGCATTGGAATCTATAAATATTAAATTGCTCTGGCTTTCACTTGCCCTTGTACAATTAAAGCTCTGGTCAGCTCCAGAAGATGGGGGCTGGTTAGTGTGAGGTGGGGATGGGGAGGCAAGTGTCCCCAAAAGGTTGAGGCTGATGCCATGGGGTGTGGTCAGCCGGGGGTGGCCTTGGTTTGGGGAGAAGCAGTGAGTGGTGTAAAGAGCAGGGAGGTGGAAAACCCCAATGCAGCTGTAACCCAGGGTGGGGTTGCTCTGGTGTTTCATTTGCAGCTTTATGGTGGGGGTGGAGGGGGTGGGGAGCTTTGTGTTGCATTTCATACCCCAGCCCAGGACTCTAACGTGAGGGCTGCATCGTGGCCATCAGCGTGCTGTTCCCCTCAGAGCTGGTATTGGAACCTTCCCAGGCAGCAGGGCTGGAGTTGGGGGTGGGAGGCCCCTGGCTTGTTGGCAGCCAGCTGTCTTCCTCCTGTTCTGCTGCCTCTCCTGCCCCAGGCTCCTCCGTGACACACCCCCCCTTGTGTGGACTCCGTGGCATGGTTGATTTGTGTTGGTTTGTGTGTCTGAACGCTGCCTGGGGGTGTCTTTTACACCATCAGTTAGGTTGAGGCTCCTGGCAGGTGGGGGCAGTTTCCTGCTTTTTGGGATTGGTTAAAGATTTATCCACTGCTTCCATGTGCCAAGACCCCGTGTGAAGTTTTTTAAATACACAACTCACTGATCTTTACATAGTGGGATAAGGTGGGAACTGCAGGGCATCCACCACATGGCCCAGAGTGGTGAAGGGACTTGCCGGGGGTCCCATGGAGAAGGTGTATGCAGACCCAGCGGAGCTCTGCGGCTGTTCAGCGGCTGAGCCTGATTCCGTCCCGAGGCTTTCCTGCTGTTAATCCTGAGCCTGTACCTTGTCCCGGGTCCTCCTGGGAACTCTGATTGGGAGCTGACTCCTCCTGCCGGGGCCTGCGGCCAAGTGAGCTCTCTCTCTCTTGCAGGCATCCCCACCCTCATCGTGCTGGACCCGCAGGGGGAGGTGATCACGCGGCAGGGGCGGGTGGAGGTGCTGAATGACGAGGACTGCAGGGAGTTCCCGTGGCACCCCAAGCCCGTGCTGGAGCTGTCCGACTCCAACGCCGTGCAGCTCAACGAGGGCCCCTGCCTCGTCCTTTTTGTCGGTATGGAGCGGGAGGGGTGGGCGGGGGAGGGGCAGGACAGACCTCGTGGGGCATGTCTGTCCCTACACTTCTTTCTGTCACCAAACAATGCAGAGCCTGGGCCTTTGTCTCTCTCTCTCTCGGCAGCCTTGCCTTTGACCCCAATGATTTATTCATGGCTCTCCCCCTGTAGGAGGTGTTCTGGGAGCTACTGCTGTGCTTTCCTTCCTAGCTGCTCCCAACTGCCAGCTGGGAAGAATAGGTCAGGCAGGAGATGCCCTGGGCCCCCATGAACAGACCCATTGTTGGAAGGAGGCGGGGCTGCACCACAGCAGCTGCAGGGGCTGGGCCCCTTGGGCTCAGGCTCACCCCGGGCTGCTTCTGCTGATCACCTGTGTTCAAACCATCTGGCTGGGGGCTACTGGAGCCCTCCCAGCCTCAGGTGGCACCTCTGTGGCCAACTGCCCCCCCTAATCTCCCATGGCTGGCTCACTCTGGCGCTCCGTGGGTGACTGCTGTGAGAGGCAGGAGGGCACAGGAAAATTTACCCTTGGCTCCCTGCAGCCCCATGGGATGACTGATTCTTTCTGCAAACAGAGCATCTGCTGCCCAAGATCAGCCTTACCCTCTACCTTGGAACTTGTTGCTCAGCTCCAGTGCAAAATAATTTTGGGTACCAGGAGCATGGCTGAGATGCTGCCATACCCACTTCAGTGAGGCGAGCTTGGGAGTATGTGCAATATCCTCCTGTTCTCTGGAGGTCTGGTTTGGAGACCCCTAGGGAAGGGGGGCAATCTGCAGACATAGGGGATTCTTAAGCGAACTGACTTGCAGCTTCGTCCTGTGCTTAGAGGACAGAGGCTGCCTGGGGAAAGATGGCCTTGGGGTTTTCCTGCCTGCTACAGGCTCCCACACCTTTGTCTTGGGGGATGGGAAACAATTCTGAACTGAGGGACAACTGGGAAATCACTGGCCATCTGCAGATGTGGAAACAGAGTCCTGGAGAAGCAAAGCGAGTTCCCAGCACCATGGGAGCTAATTAGATATGGATCTAGTGTGTCCCACAGAATCTGCATGCTGCAGGCCTGTTGAGTGGTGTGGCATTTCCGGGTGAAAGTTGTCTGCTAGCACCTGGTCCCCCTGCCCCCAGCTCTGCAACTCAGGGATGTCACTCTTGTTCTCAGTTACAGCGTTCAGCAGAGTGAGCTCTGGGGCCCCCAGGGTGTGGCTGCTCGTGGAGGCAAGGGATGCCCCATAGAGGGCTCTGGGGAACCTGGTTGGGTGGTCTCCAGGCAGCAGCCTGTCCCCTCCCAGGTGAGCCTGGCTGTTAGCTGTGCGTCCCCATGGCCACCAGAGCTGCTGACCAGACTACAGTCCTACCCACCACCACCTCCACCTCTGCCATTTTCATCAGTGATCCGAGGTCATGGCATCTCATTCTGTGATTGTGAGAAAATCTACCCGGGACCTCAGGTCCTGGCTTAGGGGAAGCTTAGCTTTCAAGGTGGATTTGTGAAGGGTATAGTGAAAAGGATCACATTTGCTTGGGGCGTCAGTGCTGCTCAGTGAGGTGAGTTGTTCCCGGGAGCGTGGTGCAGGAGAGCACTGTGTGAGCCAGTGAGTACGTGAGGCCCACCCTCGTGCACCCAGGAGGCAAGGCCCGTGTCCCAGGGAAGCTCTCCTTCCTTCAGGGGCTGCCCGGATGGGCGTCCAGGCCCCGGATGCGGGCGCCCGCAGGGGGCACCGCTCGCGGACCAGCCCGCGTGCTTCATGGCTTTCTCTCCACCCCAGATTCTGAGGATGACGGGGAGTCCGAGGCGGCCAAGCAGCTGATCCAGCCGATAGCGGAGAAGATCATCTCCAAGTACAAAGCCAAAGAGGAGGAGGCTCCGCTTCTGTTCTTTGTGGCGGGGGAGGTGAGTGTCGCCTGGGCCAGACCAGGGGCAGGCTTCGAACATGAGTGATGGGCTTTTGGGGATATTAAAGGGGGCCTTGGGGTCTGGGGTGACTGTGTTTCTGGAAGAGCCCACAGACAAATGTGGCGTGAAAAAGTGAGTCATGGAGAACCATTTCCTGCCTTTGCGGCTTCCTCCTTCCATTGTCCTCTCTCTGTGGCCTCAGAGCAGCGGGATGGCTCCCCCCACACACAGGACAGCGCCCTGCACATGTCTCCCAGGCTTCTGGGCAGAGTGGCAGCCACCGAGATCGCGGTCAGCACTCACTCCCTTGGGGTTGGATCCAAACCAGAGCCTTTACAGAGTGTCTGCTGGGTTAGTCCCTCCTCGCTGGCCCGCCAGGCGGGCTCTTCCTGTTACAGGGATTGCGCTGGGGCCACGACTCTGCCTGTGGTTCCCTGGCCAGGCCCAGGAGAGGGCTAAGGTGGGAAACTGCCGACGTCCCTGTCATTCCTGCAAGGCCTGTCCCAGGATGCTGGGCTGGGCGGAGCAGAGGACTTTCACAGGGCGAGAGGGCGGGGCCTCCAGCAGGTGTCTGCCTCCCCCAAAGTCAAGGTGTAGGAGGCTCCATCCTGTTGAGTGGGAATCTCCGCCGGATGGCCGAGGTCTGCGCAGGCTCCCTACCTTGGTTCCCACCCCCAGGAGCCACCCTCCATGCATGCTCCCCCACCTCCCCCACCCAGCCAGGCACTGGCTTTAAGCCCATTATTGACAGCCACACTTTTTGAAGCCCCCCTGTCCTCCTTCCACCCATCTGTACCTCCAGTTGGTTAGAGCCCCCATGCTCATGTCACACTGTGTTTGGATCCCGAGAGGCAGCGGCGGCCAGACACCCTGAGCCAGCACCCATTCATCACCTCCTTGATAGTCTCCCCTGCTAAGCCCTGCTGGGCCCCTTGCAGGCCACTGAAGTCACCCTGCTGGGTCGCCGGGTGGAGGGAACAAAGGTTCACAGGGCCCTTCCTTGAGGCTACACAAGCCCACTCCACACAAAGCACAAATGGAGGCTACTCTGAATTTATTAAACTCTAACCCCTTTCATATGGCTGTGAGAGAAAAGATGGGTACAGAACAGAAAGGGCTGGCTGGGCTGGGGGTGGGGCTGGAGGGTTCCTGTAACTGATGTAGAAATGTGGCTGAAAAAGGAGCATTTGTGGGTTTTCTAAGTACCAGGCACCAAGCCAAGTGCTTCCCCTGCACTATCCCATTTGTCCCCACCTCTCTGGCTGGGATATAATCATTGCTGTTTCACAGATGAGGAGAGCGAGGCTCGGAGAGGGTGAGACTGCTCCAGTCTGGTCGGTGGGGCTGAGTGCTGGCTGGCTCTCACGCCTCACCTAGCCCCATGTGAACTTTTACTAAACCCATTTTATAGGGCAGGAGACCTGGGCTCAGAGAAGTGACTTGCCAAAGTCACACATTCTGTAGACAGCAGAGAGAGGAGTGAGCGTGAGGTTGGTGTGACTGCAGATCAGTGCCCTACTCCTTTAGTCCTTGTGGTCTAGCAGGGAAGGATGCCGAGAGTTGGACAGAGGAGCTTGGACATCCACTGCTCCAGTTCCCTGCCTGGCTGCCCCACCCTTCCTGTGTGTTTCACCTAAGCTCCTGGCCTTGGCAACTCTCCTGGTTCAGTTCTCTGCCCTCGTGCTCAGAAGCAAGGCATTGTGGAATGAGGCTGGGCACAGGGCGCTGAACACCAGGCATTGACCGAGCACCTCTGAGCTCAGGACTCCAGCCCCCTCACATCCCACCCAGGGCTAAGGAGGACCCGTGTTTGTCTCCATCCTGTCCACTCAGGGAGGCAGAAGTCATATCTTCTGAAGCCTTAATAGACATTAAAATTCATCTCCCTGTGGTTTGCTCAGAGGGAGAGGGGAGGGGATGCAATGGGAATTGGATGTACAGCATTTGTCCAGGTGTCTCCCTTCTGTTTATCATGAAGACTGTTTATTTACCCATACGGAGGGCCTGGATTGGGTAAACAGTGCCAGAGATACTGAATCACCAGCAGTGCTGGGAAGTACATGTTGTTTCTGGGGTGGGGGAAAAAGACGATTACCAATAATCTTCCTAAAGATTTGCCCTTTGAGGAAGGAATTTTTGTTTGTTTGTTTCAGAAACCGGTGAGCTGTAATTTTCACGCCTCTTGCTCACCAGCATTTAAGGCCAGGAATACCCCATGCCCTTTCTTGGCAGGGTGACGCAAGTCTTTTCTTCGGTTTAGCATACTGTACATTTTATAATGAGACAATTTTCTGTTACCTGCTAAATGAGGGTCAACAGCATAAAACGTAATCCCAAATGATCGGTCTCTTACAAAGCTTTCTCCTTGTCTTAGGATTTCCATGTTTGCCTTTGTACTTAATAAAGCTACATCTGGTATTAGGGAAATTCTCTGGGACAATCACTAGGAATATGTGAAAGAGGTCTAGCTTCTTGCTCAGATAAATGCAGCAACCTGTGTAAACTTCAGTAGTATTTCTGTAGCCCTGTCTTCCCATCCGGTTCTGCGATGCTCACCTCCTGAAACCGCAGGGTGGGGTGGGGGCAGTTCTGTTGAAACACATTCAAAGCTGAAGTCCGGATTGGCCTCAGGTAATCCACAGCGGAGCTGCAAATGATCGAGTTGATTGCAAAAGTAAGTAATCAAAGGACATCACGTTTTTGCAAAGCAGAGGGTGTGTGAAAGTTGCTTTCATGCTAACAAAGAAAGACTTGCCTGGGATTTGGGGTGATGCAGAGAGAATTTTAGGAACCAGCCTCCCCCTCTGCAAGGCAGGGTCAGGCTCCACTGCTCCCCATTGTGAGAGCCCATCTTTCCTGGAGGGGGCCCGCTTTTCAGGGTGACGATGGAGTGAGTCCATTCCATGCCATCTGGGGAACCTGGGCCAGGGGTCTCGCTACTCTTTCTTGAAAACTTACGGTTCTCTGTCCCTTCTGGTGACTTCCAGGATGACATGACTGACTCCCTGCGAGATTACACCAACCTGCCCGAGGCTGCCCCTTTGCTCACCATATTGGACATGTCGGCCCGGGCCAAGTACGTGATGGACGTGGAGGAGATCACCCCTGCCATCGTGGAGGCCTTTGTGAATGACTTCCTAGCAGAAAAGCTTAAACCAGAGCCCATCTAGTGGGGCTCCGGCCTCACGAGACGTTATTTAAAACTCAGTCTCCTCCTCCTCCTCCTCCTCCCCTCCCTCCCCTCCACCCATGGACTTTTCCAGCGTGTCCTGAATCACACAACCCAAGTGTCCAACCTCCCTGTGGTGCCTTGTTTTCTGCATTAACTCCTCAGCCAGCGCCCTAGGGCGCGCATCCTCTCAGCAGCAGAAGAACCCACCGTGTTTGGAGACTCTGCTTGGGATTCACGGGGCTGCCGTAACCGGGCCAGAGCTGGAGCTGTGTCACTGTCTGTCACCAGCACTTGGTGAAGTATTTGCCAGGTGTCCTGCCGAGTGAGCGTGAAAGGACAGCGCATGGTGCTCTGGCTCACGGTTCAGTGACACAGGCGGGGCAAGGACAGGGCGGCCGCCTCATTAGGCCTCAGCTTAGAGCTTCTGGTGAGAAGGCCCTTTCTAGGTGACTTTAGTCTGTCTTGGTCTGAGTAGCTTGTCAGTTGGTTCTTGGGCAGGGGATCTCAGATCTCAAAGGAAGCTTGTGTTCTTTTCTGGTGAGAAAAAAAAAAAAAGCTACAGGAATGATTCATATTGTAATTGCTTACTTTGAACTCCTACCATGGGATAAGAGTTCATTCCTCCCTTATCTCTCTTCCTTGATCTTGACCTCTAAGTTTCTGCCTTCTCATATGAACAGCCCCTACCAGCTTGGAATTTTGTTAATAAATTCTTACCCGTGGACATCTTCCCAAGAAGATGCACTTGGCCCTGGTTCTTAGAGGAGCACTGCCTCGCCGTGCTGACCTCTGACTCAGCGCAGCCCTGGGCCTGGGACCACTGGAGCTCTGCCAAGGTGCCTGTGCCCACCCCTGCCATTCCCTTTTCTTTTCAGAGCAGAACTAAAAAGAGACAAATTACCAGAAGCCTAGCTTTTCCCTAAAAACCTGCAGGAAGAGCTGCACCCTAGGGTGGGAGTGAGGGCAGAGGACACGCTGATGAAGAGTAGGCCTGGGATCCACTTTGCTAGGCCCTGGCAGCTTGGCCTCTCCTTATTTGGGCTGAACTCACCACAGAAAGAGTAACATCTGTGTTCTAGGATTTGGGATAGACGGCTTTGCCTGGGGACTTGCACGGTTTTAGCCTCGCTTCACCAGATGTCAGGGTCTTTAAAGCAATCCCAGGCCTTCCCCTTGGCTCCACTCACAGCACTCTGCCAGCCAAGACCATTTATTTGGAAAACCCAGCCCCCAATTAGCTGTAACACTGTCGCTCCTTGCCGAATTGGATTGTGGATTTGTAGTTCAGAGGTACAAAGTTAGTGGGATTAGACTGTTACTTGATGTCACCAGCCTGAAATGCAGTCACCTAGTGAGAAATAAAGCAGGCATCTCTGGGCATTATCAACCATTTGGCCGCTCCTGTCCTTAATAACAAAAATCTTTTCTCTTGTGGTGCTGTGCTCTCTTAGGAGGTGGGCAGCGGGGGATGGGACATAGGCGATCCTCTCGACTTTCATTGGGTACCTGGTAGCTATGTGTCAGAATTGTCGAGAACCCGGAGACCTAACGCGGTCATCTGTCAAATCCTCCAGAAGCCGGCAAGCTCGTTCAGATTAGAGCGCCAGAGGCAGATCCTTGCTGGAGGTCTGGCTGCCCATCCCTCCCAGCTCTACTCGCCCTTGCAGGCGGTGGATTCTCAGATGAGACATCCTGTGGACACGCATCTTCATTCCCTCCCAACTGGGGAGCAGGTGCCCTAAAGCTGAAGTCCAGGTGGGGAAACAAGGAACCCTGCATGTGTCTCCATGTGATGAATGGAGCAATAGTTGGAGACCATCAAACCTAGCTCTATCTTAGGGCTGGGGCTTCTCTGGAGGGTGAATTGGGGGTATGGACAAGTTGAGGTGCATCTCGCTTGGAAGATGGGCAGGATTTCTGTCTGTACCCTGTATCATGATGACCTTGGAGGAAAGGTGGCCTTGTAGCAGCCACTTATCTTCTGGGGTGGAAGAAACAAAGTCCAGTGAGGAGTCCCTGTCTTTGCAGCCGAAAAATTAGGTCATCTGTGGTCCTTCTTTGGCTATTACAGGGCTTACTGAACTACCTGCCACTAATGTCAACTGGCTCGTTGACGCCAGAACTCCCCTTTGAGAGTGGGTGTGCAGGTTAAGATCAGTAGGAAGCTTCACTAAAAAGGTGCATTTGGTTTATATAATGGCGGGCTCTGGGGGAAATGCTGGGGGAGGAGCGCTTGGCCAGTGCCAGTGAAATCTCCCTGTCTTGATAGCGCAAGAGATCTTAAAGGTTATTGGTGCAGACGAAGTGGGTGGCTTCTTAATTTCCACTAAGCACCTCCAAAATACCTTAAAATTCTTGTCGCTAATTGGAAGCAGGTTAAAACACCAGCTGTCGCATATTCAAGGGTTTCCGACAGCAGCTAAGGAAACCATGCCCTGCAGCTTGAGGCAGGATGGTGGTTGTAAAAATGCCACCCTGGGGTTCCAGATTTGTGTTCACCACAATGACTTCCAGATTGAGTCTACCAGTTTTCACAACAGAGATGAGATTTTTTTTTTTTTTACCTGTCCCCATCAATAAAGATCTGCTTGTTGGGGGCTGTATTACAATGGGCAGCTGCAGATGCCAGAGGGCAACTAAAAACCTTTGCAGCTCCTACACGTGGGTCCTTGAAATCAATGGCACTCACTTACCCAAGCACAGGGAGCCAGTACCGCTTTTTTGGCATCAGCCAAGCTTCAAGTGGTAATTTTCAGCCAGACTTTGTTTTTTCCTGTTGCCTAATTAAAGACACTGAAAAGCTGTTCTCTCCTCCTGCCGCCTTTTTCCGGGGCAGCAAAATGAATTCTGCAATGATGTGACGACATAGTAGGGTATGGTCCAGGGACAGATCTGCCAGATCTAAGAAGCTATTGCTCTGTCACCTGAGGGAGAAAACCACACGTGTGCGTGCGTGTGAGGAAAGGCTGTACACTCGAATTACAGCGCTGGGGAACCTGAGCGAGTGTCTGGTCCGTGCCCCTCTGGTCACCAGGGTGTGCACACATTCTGTTCCGTCATTTGCCCTGGTTAGTCTGGGCAGGCCCATGCTTGCCTCATAGGACAGAGGTGCCACCGCAGTAGTTTGCGGGGAGGCTCAGCAGCGCCCTCTGCAGCTTTTCTCAGGGTGCCTCTTCGTGAACCAAGGACTGACAGAGGCCCAGGCTCAGGCGGAGCTTTCAGATTCCCTCTGAAGCAGCTCTGCTGAAGTGAGCACTGAGCCCTGGTCCCTCTTTGCTGATACCGACAGGGGCGAAACACCCCCTGCTTTCCTCCAGGAAGGCTGCTCCAGGGAAAATTCTTTGGGGACAAATGGCTGTTATTAGCTTCATTATGGCACTAATGGTTCATGTGCAAAGGGTGAAATATTTCCCAAGAAACAAAGTTTGTATGTAGGGAAATTTTTTATTGGGTCTGCTCTATGGCTAGGGTTTCTCCTACTGGGGGAAATAGGATATTAGGATGCTCTATACACACCCTCTAAGTGAAAGCATGAAATAAATAGGCTTCATTTTCAAGACATAAGTATGTCTCACTCCCTTGGTGTTTGGAGTACTTCCCAAGGCAGGAAATGTGCTGTTAAATTTGAGTAGGACTTGTTCAGACGGACTGCTAGGTTTCCATTCAATAATGTGCCAAGGAATGAAAGCCTCTGTCCCCAGGCCAGCAGGCCAGTGAGAGGCCCAAAGGAGACAGCCTCAAATCTGGATTTGTGGGTGCTCATGCCTCACACATAAGTCACCCACAAGGGCTAGAACTCAGATACAGCAGGAGGCAGGACCTCAGGACCAGGGCCATAAACTAAGTCTTTGGACATCAGAGGGTATGGGAGTGCCTGACCAATCAGGAGCCACTCTGTCTGAAGCAGTCAGTTGGTATGTGGTGTAAGGGAGGCTTGGAGGCCAGACCCTGCTGCAGCCATGTCACCTCCCAGCCTTTGTTCCCTTCTTGCATTTTGAGGGAGCAGCAGCTTTGGTAATAGCCCTCTCCAACTATGAGGCTTCAATGGAAAAAAGCAGCTCTTCCTTACAAATGTATTGAGAACAGAAATACCATCCGTAACGTGTTCAGATTTTTCAGTCGTACTTGGCCTTTGGGCGGCAGCCCCGGCTTCCGGAGGCCTTCAGTGAGAGCTCGGCTCGCAGCTGCTCCTGGCTGCTCCCGTGCAACACGGCAACCTAGTTCAGAGACCAAGTCATCCAGAGCAGTTGTCCTGGCTCATCCACTAATTTGGCTTATAGCTTAGTACCTTTGTGTGTTAACTGATGAAAAGAGAAAAAAAGTATTATCTTAAAGTTTAAAGGTGTCTACATGAGTGTTTCCTAAAAATAATGTAAAAGGTGAGCCAGTCAGGTCTGCTCCTGCAGGACAGCAGAGGTGGCTTGGGGCAGCCAGGGCTTTTCAGCACTAGCCAGGGAACCCTGGCTGAGGTGCTGTTTTGGGAGTCTTTGGTGGCAGAATGACAAGAGATAAATGCAGCTCAGCTTGGATGGTGGTGACATCTGGTGTTTGCTGTTAGCCCTGGGGCAAGCGGTGGGTCCCAGGTGGAACCAGTCCCAAGGTCTGTTCATCCTCTGGGCCTTCATGCGGGAGCAGCTGTGATGGGGAAGGAAAGGCTTCAGCTCCCCCTGCCCTGAAGCTCCACGCCCAGGGCGAGGTAGTGGGTCCCCAGTGTGGCACAGGGACATCAGCATTAGCCCAAAGCTGCTTTCTCAGAGCTGCATTTGAAGGGAAAAGTTGTGCTAGTTTTACTGTTTTGCTGTGACCATTTCCCATGTCTATGCATTTTCTCCTTAGTTTTTGGTCCACTGTCCTCCTACACTTCAGATTCCGACGAGAGAATGAGTGACAGTTTGGATGAGTCTCCAACTTCAACACCTTTGAGCACAAATGGCTCGCAAAACGCCCTGCAGTGGAGGGAGGCTTTACACTCCATCCTTTCTTCAACTTCAACCCAGGACGAATCCCCACCCTCCTCAGGGTTGGGAATGGTTTTGAGGCGTGGCTGCCACCTTGTGGCAGAAGCCATGTTACAGCTGCGCTCACACACAAAGGCAAGGAGCCCCTGGCCAACCTTGACAGCTGCTTTCAGCAAAGCAGTTTTAATCCTCACCTGAGGATATTTTTCCATTGCTTTTCAGAGAAGGGGAGGGAGAAACATCGATGAGAGAGAGACATCGACTGGTTGCCTCCCACACGTGCCCCGACCAGAGCTGGGGATCGAGCCTGCAATTGAGGTACATGCCCTTGGCTGGAATAGAACCCCGGGACCCTTCAATCCACAGGCTGACGCTCTAACCACTGAGCCAAACCAGCCAGGGCCAGCCAAGCAGTATTTTGCTTGTCATATACTGCTCAGTAGCTATTTCCTGGGGAAATGGTGACAGAACAAAACTGGGAAGAATTCAAGGTAACAATTTGCCAGTATTAGTCTACAAACAAGAACATCGCCACTTGCTTCCTTTGCAGTCATTTGAAAGAAAGGAAAACTTGCCCTCCCCTCTGTTCAATTATACCCATAAAAATACAAAAGGAACTCCCAGGCACGGTATAAAGGGCACTGACCACAAAGTAAAGGCGATATACATTCCATTTCCATCTCACACCCAGGATAAGACTTAGAACTACCAGGTATACTGTTTTGCACTATTGTTTTTCTGAGCAAGGACAAGGGATAGGATTTGTTTTCATTGATCTTTATTGTGTAACAATCAGGAAGAGTAACCCAGGGACAGACGCTGCAGACTGGTTTCATGCTGGGCACAAGCTTCCTTTTAATGACTTGTTTCTTTAGCACTTTTTCCAAGGTGTTGAGACCAAATGTCAATAGTAGTGGTAGTTTTCTGGACTGCCTCCCAGATTTAGCCTGCTGGTGTGATGGGCATTGTGGCTGTGAAGCTGGCAGACTAGGCCCAGCCTTTGTGGGCTCATCTACTTCCTAAAACCTGCCAGTCTTAAAAACAATCTGTGGGCCACTTGCATGGGACATTCATGTGGGGCAGGCCCAGACCAGAGGGTGGCACCAGACCAGCAGTTCTGGTAAGCCTGGGAGAGTACCACTAAACAGATTGTTCCTGCAAAAACCCCTCCCCTCAAACATGCCAAAGCAATCCTACCCTGCCACTCGGGGCATGAGTCATACTTGATCTTTTGTTTCTCTTGAAAGGAAGTTTAACCAGGGACCTGGGGGAGCCAAAGGGGAAGGAAGGAGGATCAGTTTCTCTTGGGCATGCCAGCAACTCAACTTCCCTGGAATGAGCAGCTGAAGGGCTCCCAAGGAATCCTAACCATTACAGGAGCCACTGTACAGAAGGGATGCAGTAAGACTACACTACTAGTGTCTTCAACTCCAACCATATTCTCTATGGTTGCAAAAGCACTGCATGAAATAGGCCCCATACTTTAGTCTCACCCACCCTCTTCCCATAGTGATTAAAACACAGCGATTACTATCTGCATTTACCCTCATGTTCTTGGCTACACCCCAGCTAGCACCCGGTTAGGATCCAGTTTGCCCTTGTCCCCTGGGGGTTTGACAGAGAGGGTCTTGCTGCAGTGTTGGGGGTCCAAGGGTCCCAAGCTCTCATCCTCAGAACCTCAGCCTCTCTCCCATCACAGGCGCCCTCTGTTCACACAGCAACCAGGAGTGTTGGCATTTTCCTAAGCAGTTCTGTTCCTCTGTGCAGGAGAGGGGATTAATGTAAATAAGTAACTCCAGTCATTGCATTTAACCAAAAGTGTTAAAGTAGGACTAACAGCAGGAAGCAAGTAAAAAGAGTACAGTTTTCCTGACAGACGCAGGATTAAGCAGAAGATTTTAAAGCTGTTTCCTCCTTTTCTGAACAAAGAGTCCTCAAAAAGATTACCTGCAGAGGCGCTAAGAAGGTATAATACCACTTGATGAACTAAGTTGTTTCTACCAGCTGTTTCACCAGAAATGGGGGGAAATCATGTTAAACATACACAACAGCTATTTGAGTCAGGGCCTGAACAATTTTAAAGACTGACACAGTCAAGTGGAAAGAACAGCTAGCAACTGAATACCATTACCGGTAGCCTTCACATATAAAAAATTGGGGGGCTCTCAGGAAGAATTTTGACCTTTGTTATTTTTGAGAATGAGCAGAAATTCAAGGACATTTTTATTTTTCCAATAAACATCCAACAGCATCATGCCTACCTGCTGGGAAGCCACAATTACCAGCTCTGCCAGCCTAACAATATAGGAGGAACTGGAGACAACCTCAAACCATGGATGACTTCCATGTCCCCTCTCAGTGGTAACTCCTGTCCCTGCTCATGTGTTCCGCCCTTAACCACAGTTGTCTTTTCCCTTCAAAGAGTAGGATGCTGGCAGCCATGGCCGAGTTTAGGCTGTCCACACCAGGCACCACAGGGATCAGCAGCCTCTTGCCCCCAGTGCTCTCGGCCAACTGCAGGGACTCCAGGCTCACGCCATGGGTCTCCCCACCTATGACCACAGCTGCTGGTGCCTCTGTCCAGTCCAAGTCATACCTCTGGACCTCAAGTTCAGGGAGCCAGTCTTTACTGGCTTCAGTTTCTAGATCCTCCTCCTCCTCCTCTTCCTCATATTTGTGATGCTTCGAGAGTTGTTGGTCAGAGACCCAGCCATGGTCACTGGCTTTATTAGATATCTGGGCCTGGGCATAAAGGCCACAGTTGTCTGCCACATAGACCCGGGTATCGTCAGGCAAGTAGTTGGGCACTGTTTCCCAGTCCAGATTGTCGAAGATGGGCACCTGGAAATGCGCACCCATACCTGCCCGCAGCACTTTGGGCTCCCAGGCATCCACACAGCCTAGAAAATAAGTGACAGGATCCAATTAAGATTACAAACCTTGCCAGATGAGGGGACTCAATAGTAAACCAGATTAATTCTGGATCAGGAGATAAAGCAAAAAATGTCCTACTGTAGCCTTGATAGCTGGCAGCTCTGCCTCCCCCATATGGCACTGTCCAGCAAAGGGACTTCCTGCTAGGAGGAACTCCTGCTAGTGCTGAAACAAATTTCATTCATCCCTTCAACACTTACCATATACATCTGCCAGACATTGTCCAGGAGATGCAAAGAGCATTAAAGTCCTCAACCTCAAGGAGCTCATGATACAGAAGCAGCACGAACAGGGTAACTGAAAGCCCTGTACAAAGCGGGACTATCAAGAAAAACACCCCAGAGAACATGATACTGAGCTGGATCTTGAAGGACAGGAGGATCTTGTTGGAGAAAGGCCCAGGCACAGGACAAAGTTACAGAAGGGGGCAGAGTGCCACAGTCCAAGCACTTTAAGGTGGATCAGGAAAACTGACAGGTAGGTGTGGTGGGAGATAAGATGGGAGGCAGCAAGGACTAATTTAAAGGAAGCTGGGCATGAGGAGTTTAGGATTTTATCTAGAAGACAAATGACACTGAAGGATTTTTAAAGCAGTGACAGAATCTGGTTTATGTTTTAGACCCATTTGAATCTGGATTGGAGCAGGGAAGATGGGGAAATTAGACTGGAGGCAATTACAGTAATACAGGGAGAACCAAGGCAACAGCCTTGTCATTCACATGCACACCTGCTCTTACAGTAAGGCTAAAAGGACTCTTTTATGTACAGGCATGTGCTAAGCCCAGCCACTTATATGCACTGGCAGACACTTTGCTTTTCCCAGAACCACAGGCTGGAAAAGACATCAGGACCAGGGCACCACAAATCTACCATCCTCCCCTGACTTGTTAGCACAAGCCTCCTTATTACAAGTTATTTTTAAAGAGGTGCCCAGATTCATGAGGAGAGCTGTCTAGTGTGTCCCCTCTACTTGGGGAGCATAGGGTAAGATGAGACTCCCTCCCTCATCCTCGAGTCCTCAATACTGGACACCACACCAAGGGTTCCCTTCCACTCATACACCAGCACCAGCATCACTGTGAAAACATCACTTGGACTCTACAGGTACATTTCCAAAACCATACCTGCTCTCATAGCTCTTACCGATGGGGCAGGTAAATGGGTACTGATGATGGAACCCCAGCACCTACCTCCCATGCTGCAGAGAAATGCACTCCAACAACGTGTGACTGGGGGAAGAGTTGAGCAATTTAGGCAAGTCTCAGCAATGGGTGCTAATATTAGTTTACATTGGAAGGTAACTTGAGTGTTTCTGATGAATGATCCTCTCCCTCCCACCCTCCCCCTAAGTTGTAATAGGCACTTAAGGCTTGTCCCAACTGTTAGGCAAGTCTGTTTAGAACCAAGCTTACTAATCCCCATTTCTATTAAGAGGAGACAGGAAAAAAAAAATGTAATGAGGCTAATTTGTGTGTGGGGGTGTTTGACTTCTGAGGCTAAGGGAAACCTATCAAAATTTCATAATTGCACCCTGTTGAAATCATTCATGTCAGAGAATTAGGAATGTCAAGGAATTAGAAAGGTCTCATATACCCAACAATTTGGGAACTCAAGATCATTAAATAAAGTACTTGAAACCAAGTGTTAAAACTGGCATCTACTTTCCCTGATTGATTTTAAGTTCTTTCTTTAAGAACCTAGCAGGTGTCAAAATAATTTTAAAAGATAATCAACATTTACTGAATTGCTATGTTCCAGGCACTGTATATGCATCATGTCACTCAATCCTCAAAACAACCCTACCAGGTAGATTCTGTTAACATACCCACATTATAGACGAGGAAGCTGACACTCAGAATATTGCTCACAGACATGTAGCTAATAACAGACAGATCGAAGATTCAAATCCAGGTATATCTGCCCAGAGCCAGCTTACTTGCAAATGGCCACCCAGTCACACGCACTCTTACCTTTGGTGAGTAATACTTTGCTGCAGCCTGCCCCAGCAGCAGATCTCAGAACTGTCCCCAGGTTCCCAGGGTCACGGAGATTGTCACAAATCAACAATAAGGGCAGTGAATGGCGAAGCTGAGTCTCTGGGAATGTCATCTTAACATGGTCAGGTTTGGCAAAAATCCCTGAGGAAACAAAACAGGCAGTTCACTCATCTGATGTGGACATGGGGAATAATTAGACTTTTCATTTACTTATCACTTCCTATATTCTTAATTACATGAATGCATTCTGACTGAAAGAATTAAAAGATAAAGTCCCATCAGTGATCCCCTGCATACTTGCTTTCAATCTTGGAGTCTATCCTGTCCTTTCAGAACTTGTTCCATGCAGCTGCTTATATATATGTACACCTACCCATATATAGGTGCTTTTACATTAAAAAAAAAAACCCACCCATCCTCTATATTACTCTAATCTACCTACCTCTTTAGCACGTCTTGGAGAACTTACCATGCCAATACACTTGAAGCCAGCTTATTCTTTTAAGTGCTGCGTGTTATTTTGTAACTTGAATGTACCACATTTAACTCTCCCTCAACTAACATTTAGATTTCTTTCAGTTTTCCCTATTATAAACAACCCTGCAATAAACATCCCTGTATGACTCTTTATACATATGTCCAAATACTTCCCTAAGAAAAACACCTATACGTGAAACGAATAAATGAGGTGTGTGTACTATTAATGTTAACTACCAAACTGCCCTCCCCACAAACTATTCCAGTTTGTTCACACCAAGAACACATACACACACCTGTACCTACCCTATCAATGAAGGCAACAGAATGGTATCAGGCATGTGTGTATTGTAAAGAGATCCTGCACTTAAGAGTCACAGGAAGCCACCAGAGCATTCGGTTGGGCAGGGAACCTCAGAAGTTATCTTTAACTTCTACTTGAACTGTTGAAGTGATGAAAGCTCACAACTTCCAGAGTCCCCACTTACGTTACTGGATGTAAGTCTGACAGGTAGTGCTAAATCTTATCTATTTCTCCCTTTATGCTCTCCTTAAATCTGACATAAAACATGATAAGGATATGCTAAATAATATATATTTTTAAAAGCCATGAAATCCCACAAACAGTCATAGTGATGAAGGGGCTACAGAAATCCAGGATGGGCTGACCACTGTTAGCACACATGCCCTAAGTGGCAAGCACGGTAAAAATGAGCGATACTTTCACTGTAGCATGAGGTAGTGATTAAGGTGTAGCTAATAAGAGTACAGTTAGCTAGACCAGGTAGAAAACTGTAATAGTCCAAGTTCCCACCCTAGGGGAGAGTTCTGAGCACAGAGGCATAGATCTCTGTGACTTGCTGGGTTACAGAAACAAAATAGTCCCCAGAATTTTCTCTCCCAACTAATAGTTGCACAGTGAGCCCACTATAGGGAAGAGGCACAACTGGTATGATGGGCCCTGGACCAAACATTCGAATCTTGAAGATAATTCCCCCACCCCAACTGTCCCTTACTATTTAAGGGAAACCTCTACACTTAACACCATTCAATTCTCAGATCTTAAATATAGCTCCAATGTCAAAAGGGTATATAGAATTTAGTCTTTCCATATTTAGAAAAAGCTTTCTAAGTGCTAACAGACATCACAGTTACATAAAACCTTAAGTTAAACTTAACCAAATGAAGACAAGGTTTCCTGTTCAATGGGCTAAACAGGGCAATAAATTGTAGCTTACTGCTCCTACCTGCTTCTAGAAAAAGGGAGTCAATGAGAGGTATCACCACATTGGCAGAGGTTTTGTGAAAATGGAGGCCTAAATCTTTTGGTAAACATTTTCTTAATTTTTGGTTGGACATTAAAGGTTGAAGAAGTGACCTAAAAAAAAATAAGGTGTGAGGAATAAAGAGCCATAATACAAATGATGATGAAAAACTGGCTTCAGGTTCCACTAAAAATACTATAAGGTGCACCATTTATGTAAGATTTGAGAACTATTTTTCTGGGAATCTTAAGAAAAGGTTACGCAATGACATTTTGGTTTAAATAAAATTTGTTACCCTGAGACAAGTATAAACAAATAATCCTAGGTCTCTACTTCTAGTGACACACTGTATAACCACTGACCCATTATTCCTTGTGGCGTTACTAGGTCGGACCATTCCTTGATATCCTCAAACTTCACCTTAATGAGGCTGACACCTTTCAGCTTATCAATGGGCAGCTCCTTTAGGTATTCCAGACGACTAAAGAAGAAAACTTTCGGCACAGCACCAGCCTTGAGAGCGTCTGCGATCAGCCTGCGCCCTTCCAGCAGGATCTTCCCTTCCCTTTCCCGAAACGACCTGGACTTAACTATGGTCATTACACTGCTGTGGGTGGAAACAAAAACACTGGTAATTACCAAACACCCCAGATACGGAGATACACCTAGTTCTAACATACGCAGAGACAGAAGCAAACTTATTCCGAGGGAGATACTAGTTCTCCCTCGGTGAATAAAAACCAGCGGATGGTACTGGAATAAGTCCTCTCACTGGAGGAACGAGGTTAAGGTCCCGCTGTGAGGCGGAAAGAGAAACATGAATACTCCACACGGCTTAGGAACACATCACCTCAGCCTTTTGTCCCCGCGTACGGCCTTATCGTAGCGAAGCCCCGACTCTTCCCAAGAGCTTGGCGTCTGGGATGGGGGCACCTGAGGCGGCTGCTTCAGCCGCTGCACATGGGGAGTGGCCGCAGCCGCCGCCTTCCGGGGCTGCTTCCCGGGATCGGGCTTCCGGTCCACCACCTGTCCGGACGGAAACAACACTTTCACGGGGCTCCGCCGCAGCGCCCGGACCCAGCGCCGGGCGTCGAGGTCCCAAGTCTGCACCACCGGCAGCAACGGCCGCGCAGCCCCCCCGGCGCTCTTCACCAGGATCGCCATCTTCCCCGGCGCCGTAGGGTGCGTCACGAACGTGCGCCGGCGGCGGCCCATGACGTCACCACCCGTCATCTGTGGGCGGGGCGGCCCTGTTGGCATTTGGGTGTGGACGCTAGTGGTCATGGCGACTCGTCGAGCTCTGCACTTCGTCTTCAAAGTGGGAAAGCGCTTCGAGACGGCGCTTTTCTTTCGTGATGTGCTGGGGATGAAGGTGCAGACGGGGCCGAGGGGGGCGCGGAGGGAGGGTGGAAGGGACGGGCGGCTGAGCCACACCTGGCCGAGGGGGGAGGGCAATGGCTTCAGCCGCAACTCGGGTGTCAGTCCCTACCCCCGGGACTTCCCGTTAGCCCTGTCGGGTTCCCAGCTTCAGGAAGTATCTAGTCCTGTTTGGGTTAGATGGCCTTTGAAAGGGGGCTCACGCTTATTTGTCGCCGACTATATGCCCACACACGTTCTTTCATTTAAATTAATTCACAAATATATATTGAGCTCCGGCCCTTGCGGAGCTTCCAGCCTCGTGGGAAAGACGGTACATAAACTAAAATTCCAGCGAACAAACCCTTCGGGTTTGGAGCCTTTCGGTTTAGATAATCCTCATATTCGGAGCTCTAAGTCTCAGGGATGGTTTGAATGGTCTTTTTTGGGGGGGGATACTCAGTGTCTGGGTGAGTGCTCCGACTCTCAGCGGCCCAGATATAAGTGTGAAATCAGGACCCATTCTCCTCTCCAACACCCAGAAGCAGCTTCTCTGCAGCCCTGAGCAGCTGTGATTCTGTAGGGGTCACTGGGTCACAAATAGGTGGAAGCCATTGGGGAGCTCCTGATAAGCAAGGACGTTGGAGGTACAAGAGTGCAGTTTAATGTAGGGAGGGCAGAAAACGACCTCTCTTAAAGCTGGCCTGGGGTGGGGTGGGGTGGGATGGGAATTAGATTTGTGCGTAACTTACAGTAATGGAAATAGAAATTTGATAATTGGCAGGAAAAACCACAAAGCTCTCCTTTAATGTGTAAATGTTATCAACTATTATCAAAATACAACAGAAGGAGAGACTTAACTCCAACCTGGAGTGGTCAAGAAATAATTCATGGATACTTACCTGGCAGGGGAGATACCATGATCATGAAGGTGGTTTTCCCAGAGCGAGGCTTATCCATTGCTCTCCGGATGTGCTGACCCCTGCGATTTCCCCAAATGTGGGAAACTCGAGTGCATAATTTGTGGTAGTGGGAGACTGCGTTCGCGCTCTCCCCTGAAAAAGAAAAAAAAAAAAAGAAAGAAATAATTCATGGAGATTTTGCATTTGTGTTGAAGTCTGAAGATAGGATTTCCACAGGCCACGACTAGAGGGAGCAGTATACTAGAAAAACTAAAGAGCCATTGCAAAGGTATGTTTGGGTAACAACATTAGTTTTATATGCCTTTAGTTTCAGTTACTTAGTTCAAGTTGAGGAAATAGGATATCAGAACAAATAGGTTTGGGACTCCTGATGGTATCTTGAATTCTATGTTAAGAATTTAGATTTTATGCCACAGTAAGTAGGGAGCTCTCTTACAGTTTAGAACAGGGCAGTGATATGATCAGAGCTGTGCCTTAGAGACCTAATTTTATGGTGGTGTTGATGCAAGAAATGTCCAAGCCTGTAGAGAATATTTATTATAAGAGTTAATTTGAGCCAAACTGACACAATGCTGTGAAGGAAGATCTCAAAGGCTCCAGAGAATGACAGTTTTGCAGTTTCTTTTATACATTTAGAATTAAGGAGGGAATGTAAGAAAGATTACTTGAAGATGGGAGAAAGCAAGGTGGGGGGTTGGATTACAGGATAGGTAGCAAGATCACATGCTCCTCTTAAAAAACAAAACAAAGACCCCAATTGTATAGCAGTGCTTCCCAATCTAAATAGATTTCACAGCTTTGCTTGGTTACCTGGCTCTTGGTTCTTCCTCACCTCGACTACTGGCCGGGGAAAGATATACATCTTATTATCTTCTGTATTACAAGTCAAGCTTACAAGTGATAATGTATGTGTTTTGATTATTTTGGTTTGTGCTAAATATGCTGTGTGTAGTACTAGTAAAACTTTACAATTTTTTCTAATTCCTTTTCCAGATTCTTCGGCATGAGGAATTTGAGGAAGGCTGCAAAGCTACCTGTAATGGGTATGACACCTTGTTTCTTAAAGTCTCTTTTAGGCTTTGAATATCCCTGCAAAACAGAGCAGTTTCTCAAAGTGAGCATAAGGCAGTGGAGTAAATTAAGGAGGCAGTAAGTTGGGCAACTTCAGGAACACAAATAAGTATATGCTATGGATGAAACAGTGTCTTATCAAGTATCTCTTAAGCTTGGCAGCCATGGCAAGCTGGAAAATTCCAAGGCCTGGTGGGAATTGCATGCTTGTTGATGGATATGCAAAAAAGTAAATTAAGTTTGGAGGATTCTGCTCCCTACTTTAAAGAAAAGGTAAATGAATCTTTTCCGTAAGTGCCAGACACATGGTCTTTGGAGCCTTTGGTGATGGGGCCCATGAGTACTGTCCACAACTGCTCTTAGCACCAGCTGAGGTCGTCTCATCCTTATGAGTACTTAGAGATCTAGAAGGGACTTTCCCACTCCTCTGTCCCAATCGTTCTTTGGCGGAGGCCTGAGGCAGATTTTGTCTGAGGTCACTGGGCTCATTTGCTTTTATTTTCTAGGCCATATGATGGGAAATGGAGTAAAACAATGGTGGGATTTGGACCTGAGGATAATCATTTTGTTGCAGAACTGACTTACAATTATGGCATTGGAGACTACAAGCTTGGCAATGACTTTATGGTAAATATCATGTTCTAGACTTCTGGCTATACCTTCTATTGAGATCACTTACGCAGCTTTAGGTATAACGACTGCTGAATTGATGGCTTTTGGGTGTAGTTTAGTGATTAGTTTTAGTTCTCTGTTTAAAACAAAACTGCTTGGATACCCTGGCTTTGGTATGAAATGTGTTCTCCCTGTGGTTTGGAATAAAATTCAAGGCTTAGAGACAGCTTTGAAGGAGACAAAATACCTCTAGAGGGATGACTGAATCTCGAAAGGTAAAGGGCCAGAGTCATTGATCTGGTCAAGTCCCAATCACCATTCAGAGAATTATTTTCTCTGTAGTGGGCTATTAAAATTAGTCTGGATTATTACAGCCAATCCTAGTCAGAGAAAAATCTGAGAAGGTTTAAAGGGTAAAGAGAAGAGTGCATTCATTCATTCATTCATTCAAGAATTCACGTTAATATGCACCTATTATAGTAATAGTATCAAGCATTTATTGAGCAGTTACTATGTGCTAAATAGAATGCCACTGGGACCAAATACATAGCAAGATATGAGTGACTAATTTTTACTGAGAATCTACTGAGTAAATCTACCTCATGCTAGATGTTATTTTGATCATTTGATCCTGCTGTTCCTGTTAACTCATTAAAATAATAATGCTATGCCCGGCCGGGCGTGGCTCAGCAGTTGAGCGTCGACCTAGGATCCAGGCGATCGGGGTTTGATTCCCGGTCAGGGCACATGCCCGGGTTGCGGGCTCGATGAGTGACTCTCTCATCATTGATGTTTCTCTCTCTCTCTCTCCCTCGCCTTTCCTCTCTCTGAAATCAATAAAGATATATTTTTAAAAAAAGAAAAAAAAGGATACTGCCTGGAAGTTATCCTTTAAAAAAAAAAAATAATAATGCTATCTAGATGGAAGTTTTTATGAGAATTTAATGTCTATAAAAGTGTTTTGTAAATGGAAAGGACTGTTCAGATTCAACATATATATGTATATATATGTTTTTCTCTTTTTCACTCTTCATGTCCCTCACCAGTGTATTCATTTAACAGGTATTTATTGTGACTTACTGTATGCCATGTACCTTTGTTAGGTTCTGGGGATACAAAAGAGAGTAAAGCATGTTACTTGGCCCGAGGCATTTCCGGCCTGGTAAGGGAAACAAATAGAGATGACAAGAATACAGTGTGATAAGTTCTAAGATTGGGTTAAGAACAGGGGGATATAGGAACACCCAGGAGTAATTCCGAACCTATTCCTGAAGAGGTGAGAGTTCAGGAAAAGCTTCTCAGAGGTGATATCTGAGCCAGGTGAGTGGAGTTGGGATGGGAGGGTGAGATGAGTGTCCTCAGCATGTGCACAGACCCAGAGGTGAGAGGGACCATGTCACTCAAAACTATGAGTAGCACAGTCTGGCTGGAACTTAGTGTGTGAAGGGAGTGGGTAGAGTTGAGACTGAAGAAGTAAGCTGAGGCCACATCATATTAAGATATTCTGAAAGCAGAGTGAAGCCCCATTTTTAAGAAGGGGGATGACATTGTATTTGTGGTGCAAGAATCCGCCTGGCTGAGCATGGAAATTGGGTGGGAAGGGGGCAAGACTAAAGTGAGGAAACCAGCTCATAGGCTACAGTAAGTGATCAGCAGCTCCTTAACTAGCATGGTGGTAAGAGATGGAGAGAAGTATAGATCTGAGAGATGTTTAGGAGGTAAAGTTGATAGGTAGGCTAGGGTTTTAGTTCAGTGGCATTTGAATTTCTGTCCTGCAATTCACAAAGTTTGGAACCTGTTGGACAAAAATATCCAAATTCTACTTTAAAATCAGAAGGAAGTTTTTGTTGTTTTTTAATCCTCACCCAAGGATATTTTTTCCACTGCTTTTCAGAGAGGGAGAGAGGGAGGGAGAGAGAGAAAGAGAGAGAGAGAGACATCGATGTGAGAGAGACACATCAATTGGTTTGCCTCCTGCACGGATTGAGTCTGCAACCAAGGTACGTGCCCTTGGCCAGAACTGAACCCGGGACCGTTCAGTCGGCAGGGCGATGCTCTAACCACTGAGCCAAACCAGTTAGGGCTAGAAGGAAGTTTTGAATGCCAATTAACTCTTAGGTGATTTGACACTGTCAACATAAGAAACATCCAAACCTGTAGAGAACTTTTATAAGTGTTTATTTGTGCCAAACTGACTACATTGCCAGGACACAGGATCTCAAATTCTCTGAAGAATGAGTTTTGCAGTTTATTTTTTACATTTGGAATTAACAAAGAAATGTAAGGAAGATACATGAAGGTGGGGGGAAAGTAAGGTACTGGATAGTTAATAAGATTATGTGCTCTCTTGAGAGTGGTTACATCTCTGAGGGGTCTAAAAAGGATTGCTCCAGGCATTTCAAAAGTGTGGTAACCAGATGCACAAGAATGTGGACGGGGCTGACTTAAAACCTTCTACTAAAGACCTTATAGGCCTGGGGCGTGACTCCCCACCATGACTTGCCCAATTAGATACTTATGATCAGATCACCCTGTGAGGTTACTTTCAGTCACTGAACTTGTACATACCCCCTTTTTTGTCCACAATGTAAAGGTAATGGGGTTTTGTCCCCTTATCTTGTATAAAAGATCTGTTGTGGTTATACACATGGATGATATTACTGTTTGTCATAGGGTATCACACTGGCTTCTAGCCAGGCTGTCAGCAATGCCAGGAAGCTGAAGTGGCCACTCAGTGAAGTTGCAGAAGGTGTTTTTGAAACTGAGGCCCCAGGAGGATATAAGTTCTATCTGCAGGATCGAAGTCCACCTCAGTCAGGTAATTATACTAATAAAAGCCCTCTGTCTAAAGGCATCTTTGATGGAAGGAGAGAGGGAGCTGGATTTCTTTCTCCTGTGGAGTCTTTCTATATTGACGTGACATGTCTTTCTCAAGCCAATGTTGTTATTTGTTCTCTGAGAAATTATATTCCTATATGAGATCTTTATAATTATAGGGGATCTAGACTGATTTTGTTCCACTGGTAGCATAACTATTTAGAGCACTCTCAGCTGTGAATAATAAAAGCCAATTCAAACTAGTTTGAACAATAAGAACGTTTTTTAGCTCACAAAGCAGGCATTCTGTAGGTAGGGAAGACTTTAGCATTCACTGGTTTAGCAGCCCAGCAATGGTAACAAGAACCCAAATTTTCTCTCTCCATCCTCTTGTCTGCAAGAGTTCCCTTCTCCTCTAGCTGTTCCCCTCATTGTGGTAGGGTGGCTGCCAGTAGCAGTTGCAGCTACTTGTTCCCAGGTTCTCTCCTGGTAGGAGAGGGAGAGACCGACTTCCTGTTGCTCTCTTTTAAGAGCTGAACAAAACTTGCCTAGAATCTTTCAACAAACTTCCTGGTCAGACTAGATTCACATGCCCGCTCATGAACCAGTCTCTGGCAGGAGAAACAGGATTATCCTTAGACCAGTTAATCATATTCTCCAGCTGAGGTCAGTTTCCCACACTATAGTGCTGGTACTCAATGAGTGAAAGAGGAATGGGAGTGAGGAGCTGCCCACCATACTGACTTCCTCGGAGAGCAAGAAAGAAACTGCATGATGTGGTGGGTTTTTTTGAAATATTTATTTTATTTATCTTTATTGTTGAAAGTATTATAGATATCTCCTTCTTTTTCTCCATTGATCCCCTCCACCCAGCATCTGCCCCTGCTCCCTACCAGGCCTTCTCCACACTATGTCTCTGGATCTCTTTTGCTCATCAGTTTATTTTGTTCATTAGATTCTACATATGAGTGAGTTCACGTAAAACTGAATCAGGAAGAATCAGAAAACCTGAATAGGCCAACAAAAACTGATGAAGTCGAAGCAGTAATAATAAAATCCCAGCACTCAAAAGCCCTGGTCCTGACGGCTTCACAGGGGAGCTTAACCAAGCATTCTACTTCTTATTATAGCAGTCCCTTTAACATTTCTTGCAATGCTGGTTTGGTGGTATTAAACCCCATAAGCCTTTTTTTTTTTTTTTTTTTTGTCTGGGAAACTCTTTATTTCACCATTTATTTTGAATGATAGCCTTGCTGGATAGAGTAGTCTTAGTTTCAGATTTTTGCTTTTCGTTTCCTTGAATACTTCATGCCATTCCCTTCTGGCCTGTAGAGTTTCTGATGAGAAGTCAGTTGACAGCCTTATAGGAGCTCCTTTGTAGGTAACATATTGCTTTTCTCTTGCTGCCTTTAAGATTCTTTATCTTGAATTTTTGGCATTTTAATTATGATGTGTCTGGGCATGGGCCTCTTTGGATTCTTCTTGCTTAGAACTCTGTGCCTCCTGAACTTGTGTGACTTTTTCCTTCACCAGGTTAGGGAAGTTTTCTGCCATTATTTCTTCAAACAGCTTCTCTATCCCTTGGTCACTTTCTTTCCCTTCTATCGGTCCTCTGATGCGAATATTGTTACATTTCATGTTGTCTCACAGCTCCCTTAAGCTGTCCTCTTGTTTTTTTACTTGTTTTTTCTTTTTGGATCTCTGATTGAGTGCCTTTTTTTTTTCCCCCTGTCTTCTAATTCACTGATCTGATCCTCAGGTTCCTCTAATATGCTGTTTATCCCTTTCAGTGTATTCTTTATTTATGCTATGTCATCCTTTATAGTTTCCATATCTTTTCTCATGCTGTTGAGCATCCTTACAAATAGTATTCTGAACTCTATATCTGAGAGATTGCTTATCTCCATTTCATTTAGCTCTTTTTCTGGAGACTTCTCTTGTTCTTTCATTTGGGGCTTGTTTTTTTGTCTCCCCATTTTGGTTGCCTATTTGGGTTTGTTTCTATGTATTAGGTAGATCTGCTAGAACTCCCAGTCTTTTTGGAGGGTCTCTGGTTCAGGCCAATGTCAGATGCTGTTTGTGACTGGCCTTGGGTACCCTGTTTGGAGCTATCAGCAATCCACAGCTCGTGGCTCCCTCCACTGAGCTGGGTGCCTTTGGAAAGGACCAAGATGCGTACTAAGGACAGCTTTTCCAAGCCCTGGGTCCAAAAGCAGATCAGGAAAAGACTTAAAGCACCCTGAGGTCCACCTCCTCCTACAGGCTAATTGTTATTGAGTCTCTTAATGAGCCTCAGGCTGTAGACCACAGCAAGGTGTAAACTCCACAGGGTGGGGTGAGAGGTTTTCCAATGGGTGGGGCAATTGCTTCTTCCACCTCCCCCCCTCCAAGGCAAAAGCTGCCTGGATGGTAAGGGTCTGCCTGAGAAATATGTCCTCTGCAGTATGGGGGAATAACTAAGCACAGGAATCCAGATGGCTGCCCTCTGAACTCTTTCCCCAGAGCCAGCATCCCTGGATTTTCTTTACACAGCTCTAGTCCACTCTGCCCTCCCTCCACTGGAGCCCAAGGTAAGTAGCTTCACATAAAATTTTGTGTGTTGGCCCTTTAAGATGGTGCCTGCATTTCCAGCCATCTCTCTCTGGCAGACAGAAACCCACTGCTTTTCACAGCCATATGTTACGTGGGCACCTTTCTCAGTTCTGGTGCTCTGGTCTCAGGAGACCAGCTTGGAGTTTAAAACCCAGAGTTCTCAATGGGAACCCCTACAGCTTAGATATCTCCCGGACCATCAGAGGTTGCCTGCCCAGCCAGCCCCCTCGCACCTCCGTACTTCCTATCAGTCTCTCTGCGGTCTCTGCTTTATGTCCTTTATTATGAGGGTGCTGTCCAGTTAGTCTTCAGTTGATTAATCTGGGTGGTTTTTCTATATTTTAGTTGTAATTCCAGTTCGGTCCTGGGAGAGTGTCAGTGTAGCTTCCACTTAATCTGCCACCATTTTGGAATCCTAATGGAGTATTCTGCAGACTGGAGATAGGATCAGTTACTGAAGCCATGAGACTGAGAATGAGCTGGGGTGTTACCAGTGGTATTGGTGGCGAAACTGGACCTCCGTTCTAGAGTTCAGCAAAGAAAGAATTCAGAATCAAGAACTCAAATTATAAGAGGTAGTAGAAGTGAGCCAACTGGGCTTCTGAAACAAGTTACAGAAGCAAAAGAAGAGCCCTTGAAGATTAGGAGAGGGAAAGACAAAGGTAACGCACCTAAGGGGAAAGAGAAATGCTCAGGCACACTCCTGAGAGGGAAGGATGATGTGTTTCATTTATGGCACAGGCGTACTCCTCATATGTGTATTTCATTCCTGCAAATTCGCTACCTGCTCTGCCAACAGAAAAAATGCTGATGAATAGCAAGGGCAATTCTGCCTGTCATTTCACTCAGTGAATCCATTCCCCTAAGTGGACCTGAGATGGGAGACATTTCTCTTTCCTCCACTGCTCTGCCTCAAGTCCCAGAATCCCCTCAAACTGAGTCTGATTGTTGTGTTGAATGCAATTGCTTTTCATCTGGAGCTTAGCAAATGAAAGTGATGTGTTCCAGTGTAGGAGGTTAGACTGGCACTGTGGGACTTACTGAGAGATGGTATTTCTGTACTTCACTAGCGATTTAAGGGATTTTTATGATGATTTTTGGTTGTTGCTTTATTTACTAACTTTAAAACTTAACTTCTGTTACTAATTCTACTGTATATTTTTTCCCTAATCTTGATGTTTCAATATATAAGATAATGGCAAGCCCTATAATCCTTAAGATGGTTTTGGCCTTTGGGAGGATAGTACCTTTAGGGCATTAATTTCTGATTGGTAATATAGTCAAATCTATCCATCTAGCTGATATCCCCCCTCCCTTTGAATCACTCACTTATCTGTAGTTTCACCCACTTGTTACCATTCCTGTCCCTGCATCCCTTCAGAGCCAGCTGGAATCTGTTGATTTCTCATTGAATGGGAAAACTGAAACAGTCTGCCAGGTAGAGAGACCTATGAGAAACACTTTGCCTTAGGTCATGACACTGCTATTCTAGCAACAGGACCGAGGCTGTGAAAACGGAAGGAAAATGTATTGAATTTATCATGGTCAGGTGTAGACTTGGAACAGCTCTGCAGAAAATCACTTTACAATAAAAAGTTTCCAATAATGGTGTTTTATGTTTTTGTTTGTTTTTTAAATCTTCACCTGAGGATATTTTTTCCATTGCTTTTTAGAGAGAGTGGAAGGNGAAAGAAAAAGAGAGAAAAAGAAACATCGATGAGAGAGAGACACATCGATTGGTTGCCTCCTGCACTCATCCGGACGGGGGCTGGGATCGAGCCTACAACTGAGGTACACGCCCTTGGCTGGAATCGAACCCAGGACCCTTCAGTCTGTGGGCTGGGCTGATGCTCTAACCACTGAACCAAACCAGCTAGGGCTGGTGTTTTAAAAGCAGTGTACATTTTTTAGTCTTTTGATATACTCTGTCAAACCATTTCCCAGAAATGAACTAGTTTGTTTACACTCTCCCAGTATTATATGATTGTGATTTTCCCCTGCACTATCACAGTCAGTGCTGGGAACTTTTAAAATTATTTCCCAATTAGATAACAACATGTTTTATTTGAATTCTAATTTCTTCAATTATTTGTGAGGTTGAATATTTTTTCATATGTTCATTGACCATTCCAATTCTGTGCCTTTTGCCTATTTTTCTGGGATATTCCTCTTTTTCCTATTAATGTTTAAAGGTGACTTAACTAATAAGGACTTTTTGTCATATGTTACAAAAAATGTCTCCTACTTTGTTGTTTTCTCTCTAATTTTGATTGTAATTCTCTTTTTGGCTTTTGTTGTCTAGGAGTTTTCCATTTCATGTAATTAACCTAGCAAATTTTCCTTCACAGTTTTTGTATCTTGTGTCAAATTTTTAAAAAGTCTTTCTCCACCCCAAAACTGTATAAATAATCACCTGATTCTAGTATTTTTATGGTTTTATTCATAAACTTAATCCTTTAACCCATCAGGAATGCATTTTGCCATTAGTTTAAAGATGTGACTTTTTCTCACTAAATGAGAAGCCAGTTATTGAATAACATGCCCTTTCGTGCTGACTTAAAATTGCTTTCTTATCGTAAACTAAATTCTTATGTGTACTTACTTGAGCCTGGTTTGGTCTTTCTGTTCCATTCTACTGCACTGACCTGTCCTTTCCTGCTGTTTTATTACCCTACAGATCCTGTAGTAAAAGTAACTCTCGCAGTGTCTGATCTTCACAAGTCCTTGAACTACTGGTCTAATCTACTGGGAATGAAAATTTATGAAAAAGATGAAGAGAAGCAAAGGGCTTTGCTGGGCTATGCTGATAACCAGGTGAGTGATCTTGGAGAAAAATTACCTATTACTTGATTTTGGTGTGTAAATAAGGTTAACATAAAGGTTATTCCCTTAATTCCTTAACAGTGATTTAATATTTATGCAGATAAACAGAAAGAAGAAAATAAAAGTTACTATTAACCTCACCGCCTAGATAGTCGGGGATACATTTTTTCAGAAGTGGAATTGCTGAATTAAAAGAGAAGTAGACACGACTTAATACTGTAATGATCATGTATTTTTATCTTTTTTTAAAAATAACCCAGCATTTGAGCATGATTTAGTCCTTGCACTTTGACCCAGTAGGCCTGTTCCTTTATTTACATAAAGGAAAACTGAATCTCAGGCAACCTCTCAGCCGGCAAATTTGCCAGATTCTCTCCTTGCTCTTTCCTACTACTAGTAATTTATTACATATTCATCATACATGTTCATTAAGAACTGTGTCCAGGGTTATCTCTTGTAGCCTTCTTTGTAATAGCAAAATATAAGAAATAATCTAAATGTCCTCTGGGTTAGCAGAATAGCTCAGTAATTTATGGTTCATCCCTGGAACGCATTACTGTGCAGCTATCAGAAAGAATGAGGTGAGTCTTTCTGTGCTGATGTGGTAACATTAGTTGGAGAAAACCAGGAACAGAATGATGTGTAAATTATGCTACCATTTGTGTAGAAAAAAGAGACATTTGCATGCCTGTGTCTAGAAGTATACTCAGGACACTGCTGATGGGTTCCTCTGGAGTGAGAGTAGGAGGGAGGCTTCGTTTTTATCTTACCCCTTTAGTGCTCTGAATTTTTTTACTGCATAACCTGTTCTAAAAAATAAACCAAACCCACTTTCTTCTTTTCAGTGTAAGCTGGAGCTACAGGGCATCAAGGGTGCAGTTGATCATGCAGCAGCTTTTGGAAGAATTGCCTTTTCTTGTCCCCAAAAAGAGGTAATGTCTTGGTACCAGGTCTTTTGTTTAAGCTCTGTGGCCCACTGAGAACCTTGGGCCTCCCCTTTAGGTTCTTTCTGATTGTAGCTTCAGCAGTTGTCTCAAGCAGCTGAGATGATAAAATCAAACCGGCGCTCCTGGGTTCTTTCTGGTTGATCTGACATTCCTCTAGTGCTGATGAGGACCACGGCCTAAGTGTGGTACGTGACCCCCAGTTCACTTTTCCTTTTTGTTTTCCTCAAGCTGCCTGACTTGGAAGCCTTGATGAAGAGGGAGAAGCAGAAGATTCTGACTCCCCTGGTGAGTCTGGATACCCCCGGGAAAGCGACAGTGCAAGTGGTCATTCTGGCCGACCCTGTAAGTATTACTCAGGAAGGGCACGGGCTGCACCAGGGCTTTCTTTTGAGGTGTCTTTTTGCCAAATTTCTTTTGTCTTTTTTGGTGTAGGATGGACATGAAATTTGCTTTGTGGGGGATGAAGCATTTCGAGAACTTTCTAAGATGGATCCAGAGGGAAGCAAATTGTTGGATGTCGTGAGTCTCATTTCTAAGTTTATAGGACCATAGGCCCGAGGAGGGTGGTATCAAGTGTGTATGGGGAAGGGCCACAGCAACAGGAGCCAGTTCTTACCATCAGTACCATGTTCTTTTGCTTTGGGAATGACTTTTGAGCCAGGGACTTGTGTCTTCTTGCCACCATGTGACTCTTATCTGGGGGCACTATTTGTGCCTTCCCACTAGCTCAGGCTGTCTTGGGAAACTGCTGCTATGCATGATTATTCTGCTCAGTGAGTGGAAATGCCTGGACACTGTCCCCTCTCACCTCCTTAGCTCTTTTGGTCATTTCTTCTGTAGCATCATTCTTTTCTTTCTATTGAATTGTGCTCAAGCTTCAGTACCTTCCATCTTTGAAAAATCTTGTATTTACCCCATCTGACTTTTCCAGATTTCTTTATTTTAAAACCTGCCTAGCCCAGCCACCGTGGTGCAGTGGTTGAGCATCAACCTAGGATCCAGGAGATTGAGGTTCGATTCCAGGTCAGGGCACATGCCCGGGTTGCGGGCTCGATCCCCAGTAGGGGGTGTGCAGGAGGCAGCTGATCGATAATGACTCTCTCATCATTGAAATTTCTCTTTCCCTCCTTTCCCTTCTTCTCTCTGAAATCAATAAGGAGATATATTTAAAAGTAAATAAATAAATAAAATCTGTCCATGCACTGTTTCTACTCTACACTCCCATTCACACTTCAATCTGTATCGTACTGGCTCCGGTCGCTCAGTGAAATGCTCATCTTGACCTCATCAGTGCCTTCCATCCTGCCAAATCCAGCAGCAGCTTTTCTATCATCTTCAAACTCGGTTCTTTAGCAGCATCCCAGCATTTAGCACATATCTGGTAAGTAGTAGGCCCTTGGTGAATTCTCTGTTCATGATTAACGGAATGAATCAGTCTTTCCTGGTTCTGTCACTTAATATCTATGTGACTTACCTCAAGCAATTTACTTAAAGTCTCTAAACTTAAGTTTTCTTATCTAACAATTTGAAAAAATAAGATTATCCACCTCATAGGATTGTTATGTGGTTTATAGATCCTGCAGAGCTGCTGGCATAACAGCAGACACTCAGTTGATGTTAATTAAAGTAGAAAATGTATAGAAAATACGGCGTTTATAAATTTTACCGTAAAGGAAAATAGGATCTCAGGCAACCTCTTAGTTGGCAAACTTACTAGACTCTTTCCTTTACCTTTCATACCACTGGCCAACTTCCTCCTCCCTCGAGCTCTGTTCTCCTGTGGTGGGAGAGGTCCCGCCATCTTCACAGCCGGCTGCTTCTCAGTCATAGGCACCCCTTTCTGTGTCTGACCCCAAATGGATTTACCATGGTTCTGTTCTGCTGTCTTGGATCCTCGTTCTGCGTTCTCTCTCTTCTCTGAGTAGAACTTGCCTACTGCTCTGGTTACTTCTGCTCTGAGCCTCATCCCCCGTCCTTTCTCTGACTTCCTAATTTCTAGTTCCTATTCCTCCCTGAGCTCCAAACAAGTATCTTTTATTGTTATTACTGAGGTGAAATATACATAGAATTTAGATGTACAGAAAATTCGTGTTCAATTTGATGAGTTTTGACAGTTATATATACTCATACAATCACTACTCAAAATGTAGGGTATTTTCATTACTGCAGAAAGTTCTTTTATGCCCATTTCCAGTTAGTTCCCACCCCCACCTCCTAGAGGTTTTGTCTGACCTTGAACTTTGTATAAATGGAATCGTTCAGTAGGTATTCTTGTGCCTGGCTTTTTTCACTCAACATTTTTGAGATTTCTCCATGTAATTGCATGGAGTTCTTTTTTTAAATTGCTGAGTGGTATTTAATTTTATAAATAGAACAATTTGTTTATCCATTCTTCCAATGATGGATATTCGAGTTGTTTCAGATTTTCATCTATTGTAAGGAAGACTGCTATGAGCATTCGCCTGTAATCTTCTCGTAGGCCTATGCTTCATTTCTGTTGGATTAATACCTAGGGGTGGAATTGCTTTCACTTTATAAGAAACTGCCAAACAGTCATCCAGAATGATTGAACCTTTTACACATTTATCATCCGTGTCATATACATCAGTGTTCTAGCTGCTTTACATCCTCACCAGCATTTGTACTTTTTTGGGTTTTTGTCGTAGCTATATTAGTTCATGTGAAATGGTTTCTTATTGTGATTTTAATTTGCATATCCCTGATGGCTAATGATGTTGAGCATCTTTTCATATGCCTATTGGCCATTTGCTTGCCTTCATTTGTGAATGATATGTCCTTTTGTCCATTGCTTTTCATACTAGATTTATTTTTAATACTTCATGATTAAAAATTCCAAATATACACAAGAGAGTACAACAAATCCCTGTGTGACTGTTACCCATCAACTCTGTGCCATATTTTTCATCATTCTTTCCCACCCCACCTTTTATTTTTGCTGGAGAATTCTAAGGCAAATCTCAGACACCATCATATTTCATCCCTAAACACTTAAGTATTTTACACACTTTAAAAAAATATATGGAACCCTTCATGAATTTTCATGTCATCCTTGTGCAGAGGCCATGCTAATCTTCTCTGTATTGTTCCAATTTTAGTATATGTGCTGCTGAAGCAAGCATAGTATTTTACATGTTTTTAAGATAATTTAAAAGAAGTCAACATTAAGGAATTTTCTTATATACCATATTGACATCACACTTGAAATATCAACAATATATCCTTAATATCACCTAAAATACACTTCTACCTAAAATTTCCCTGATCCTCTAAAATTGCTTTATACAGTTGGTTTTCCCTAAGTATTTTTAAATTAGCTTTAGTGTAATTAGACTATATAAATACAGAACAGTTTATATGATCCATTGAGTTTTATGACAGACTACTTGGAAGACACACCTCTGATCTATTTCATTTTAGCCATTCTAGTCTACTCTCTAATCTATAAATGTTCTTGCTCACACTATTTTATTTTCCCAGAATGTCCCTTATTTAAATATCTACTTTTTTTTAAGGTCCAATCAAATCCATTAAAAAATGTTTTTTTATCTTGTTGATTTGTTGGAAGTCTAGTTTGTAAACTTTTTCTTTTATGTTTAGTGCTTTTTGTGTCCAGACTAAATTTATAGCCAATGCAACCGCTTCACTGTGGATATTTCAAACTCAATATGTCTATAACTTAATTTATCTCACCTCAGATCCATTTTAAAATATATATATATCTTTATTGACTTCAGAGAGAGGAAGGGAGAGGGAGAGAGAGAGATAGAATCATCAATAATGAGAGTCATTGATCAGCTGCCTCCTGCACGCCCCCTACTGGGGATCAAGCCTGCAACCCGTCATGTGCCCTGACCGGGAATTGAACTTCAATCTCCTGGATCATACGTCAATGCTCAACCACTGAGCTATGCCGGCCAGGCTCCATTCTTATTTTAATAATGAAAAAATAAAAGTTACAGTTTATTAAGTATCTCACATGTTCTTGGCATATGACATATTCTTAGGCACTTTATATATACTCTCTATTCTTACCACAATCTGCAAGGTTGATAGTTGCCTTTCAGATGAGAAAACTGAGACTCAAAACTATTGTCATCCAATATTATACATTCAGTGTCAGGTCAAGGGCTTGAACAGAGATCTTTCAGGCTTAACAACCTGTTCTTTTTCTTCCTCTGTTTCTACTCTGCTCCCTCCCCTGAAGAGCATTGTATATCTTTTATCCCAGTTATTTAAGCTAGAATCCCTAGAGCCAGTGTTTTTACATTTAGAATACTTTTACTTTAGAATAGTTTTAGATATACAAACAGAACCATTTTTTAATATTGTTTTCCTCATCCCGAAATTCTGTTAGTTATTAGCCACCAAGAGTGTACTTTATCTCTGAAATCTCGTCTGTCTACTTATTTCTGAAAATACCCTTATTATCACCCGTAATACAGCAGACTCCTCCTTCCACTGTCCAGTCAATCCCTGCTGCTGACATTAGCTTTCTAAAATACAAATCCAGCAATTTATAAAAACTGTGCAGTCTTCCAATAGCTCTCTGTTTCCTCAAAGATACATTCCAGACTTTGACAGGGCATGTAACACATCCGGCCCTTCCCTGCTCTCTGATCTTCTGTGCTGTCTGCCTTCCCCTAGTTCACTCCCATTCCAGTCCCAGTGAACTGTTTATCTTACCCAAGATTTATCATCTTTTATTTCTTCTTTCTTTTCCTCCTCTCTTACTCAACTCTTACTTCAAAACTCAGAAGTTTTCTTGGTTCTCTATACTGGAGTTTATTGTTTCCTTTTTAAAAGTAGTTGTTTTTTTTTAAAATATATCTTTATTGATTTCAGAGAAAGGAAGGGAGGGGGAGAGAGGTAGAAACATCAATGATGAGAGGGTCATTGATCTGCTGCCTCCTGCATGCCCCTGACTGGGGATCAAACTCACAACCCGGGCATGTGCCCTGACCGGGAATCCAACCCAGATCGCCTGGATCCTAGGTCGACGCTCAACCGCTGAGCCACGCCCAGCCAGGCTAAAAGTAGTTCTTAAAAGACAGAAATTTCTGCATCTTTGTGGATTGTTTTTGGATCTTTGTTTTGTTTTGCCGCATATCTTTGATTTTGAAATATTTTTATTTTCATCAAAATCCAATAACACTGAGATTTTTACATAAGTGCAGTGCAGCAATGTCTTGCCCCATTGCTGAGTCCCATTGCCCAGGGCAGCCACTTTCAGCATCACTTTTTCTTAATAAAAAATACATATCTGCCCTGGCTGGTGTGCTCAGTGGTTAGTGTGTCAGCCCGAGCACCAAAGGGTCACGGATTCGATTCCCAGTCAAAGGCATGTACCTGGGTTGCAGGTCCAATCCCTGGCCCGGCAGGGGCACGTGCAGGAGGCAACCAATTGATATGTATTTCACATCAATGTTTGTTTCTCTCCCTCCCTCCCTCTCTCCCTATCTCTGTCCCTCCCTCTGTCCCTCCTTCCCCCTCTTCCACTCTCTCTAAAAAATCAATGGAAAAAATATCCTCAGGTGAGGATTAACAAAAAACCCCAACAAATATATGTCTGTTTCTTCATTTTCAGTTGCAGACATCCTTTGACTTCTTGCTGAGGTAGATGAGTGTTTCTACACTGTTTCTCCAACCAGTTATTTGCTCCTTCCTTTTGGGCTCCTGGTTCATGGGTTGATGCTCAGCCACTGAGCAACACTGGCTAGGATCAATTGTTAATTTCTTGATTATGGACAATACAGTGAGATACAAAGTGAACTATGTGTTTTATTTTATAGTCTTAGAATATATATTCCAATTCTGTTTCTCTAGGCAATGGCAGCAGATAAAAGTGACGAATGGTTTGCTAAACAAAAGAAACTAAAGGCTTCAGGTTAACAGAGACATCATGTGGAACAAGCATTTGAGATTCCTGCCCAGCACCTGCGAGATTTAATGTGCCCATTCATGATAAATGCTCTCACAAGTTAGTTGTTTCCTGTATAGGCAAGGAAGCTGGGGTGGTGAAGATTTGTATTCTCATCTTTGAAAGCTCTGATATGTTTTTGATATAAAATCCTTTTATTGTCAATCCAGCTGTAATCTGTACTGTCGCTAGAATGGCACAATGTGTGTCACTATGTTAAATTAGTAAAAAATTATTTTCCAGCCTGGGGACATTACTTTTGTTTGGGGATGGAAGGAATTTTGATAATCATGTGGATTTTATGAGAACAGCTATTCAAATAAATCCAAATTAATTGCTTATAACAGGAATACTTCCAGCATCTGATGATAGTATGTTGTTCTAATGTTTTACTCTGGCAGTCCTTGACATTTAAACATTTTTAAAGAAATTTTGTTCATTGAACCAAAAGATGTGGCTAACACCCCCACATTCCTTGCACTAAAATTTTGAGTAGCCAGAGAAAACAGACAGATCTAATGTGTTATGTTACTATACGCCTGGCTCTGTGCTAGTTTCCTCATGGAAGTTTTTTAAATGTTTACAAGAAGAGAACATGTTAAATTTCTTTAAAACGGAGTAGACAATTTTAGCCTGAAAAAAATTTTTTTTAATCTTTTCTTGTAATTTTCTGTTTGGTTCTAGAGAACAAACACATTTTAATCACTGGAAACGTAATTATATTGGACATATTTATTATTGTTTTTTGAAGATGTACTTCTAAAATCAAGCTGCTATACCAACCTGTAAGATCCATGATTTAAAGTGGTGGGCAGCCTGGCCGGCGTGGCTCAGCAGTTGAGCATTGACCTCTGTGATCCAGGAGATCACAGTTCGATTCCCAGTCAGGGCACATGCCCGGGTTGTGGGCTCGATCCCCGGTGGGGGTCGTGCAGGAGGCAGCCAATCAATGACTCTCATCATTGATGTTTCAACTCTCTCCCTTCCTCTCTGAAATCAATAAAGACATATTTTTAAAAAATGAAATAAAGTGGTGGGCAGGTTCAAATTTTAGGAAAGAAATTGATAAGACTGGAAAGGATTGACCCAGAGGATATCAGTTCCAGAATAATACATATTAAATTCCTTGTAAATCCTAGCCTCTGCTGTTCTCCCTTGCTGGTAGGGTGGGGTGTGGAAATTTCAGGGTAACTTTCAGCTTGCCTTCTTATAGGGTGATCTTACCTTCACTGAGAGAAAAAAATCGTTTTCTGGCTTCACAGCATTTTTCATTGAACTTAAATTCTGTATCTTAGGGAAGGAATCATGAGTTTCGAAGCCAATCATGCTATGTATGTTCCTCCTCTAGACAACTGGTTCAGTTACCCCCATACATGGGGAAATTATTGTATGAATTTTGAGTAATCAAACTTCTGTGTTTCTTTAGACTATGATTTGTTAATTCTCAGATTTTCTTGTAGATTATTAATTCTTGATGTTTATCTCTAGTAATACTGTTCTCGTGAAAAGAAACTATACTTTTCCCAGTGTATTAGGCTGCTGGGATGTGGCTGTCTAAGCTTCTTACAGTAAAACAAGTGGTTTATGTAAGTACTGAATGACTAAACACATACTAGATCCCTCTTTAGCTGCTTATCTTATATTTTAACATACCCCCAATTTTTTATCTTCGATATGGATGTAAGTTAATGCTGTTTATCTGCCTGGGATATTTTGGCTTTATGATATCAGCCCCTTTTATTTATCTCGTTGCCTGTCATTTTTCCTGTGTTGCGATCTTCAATATTTTATTCATCCTAAAACCCTTTAGTGTCCCACTTTAGCCTTTTATCAAGCAATCTAAACATTTACCTCTGCACATTGCAGCTAATAATTTTAAACCAAAGGTTATGATTACTTTCTGTCTCTGGAGATGGTTTGATCAACTAGAAAACAAAGTTGTAAGAAAAATGGTTTTGCCCAAGCCTGTGTTTTTAAACAGGTGAAGTTGGAAAATCCTTCAGTTTCTCCAGATTTATGTTGTGTTTTCAGAGTAGTCATTTTGTTTTTTGACTTGAGGGGATTGTGGGGTCCTAGATAAGTTCAAATGTGTATACATTGGGTATAAATCCAGAAATATTTAAAATGGCTATGTTGCAAGAGTTCTCCTAGATGAGCCTGAGAACTTAGTATGAAATCCATATTTGCCTGACATCTTAGTGGAATTTGCAAAGCCATGGACATTCAGTGCTCCTTTAAGTGACCTTCTGCCCATCTCACCTGTCACACAATGCCGTTGTGGCTTAGCAGAGTTTTCAGGAGGGCTCCAACTTGTCCACTGAAAGGCGTGGTAAGAGTTAATGGGAAATTCCAGTTTGGTCTAAGATTCATTACCTTTACCCTATAGGAAGTTTACTCTGGCCTTAACATTCAATAAAGAAGTGCTCTTGCCTCAGACCCTTTTGTAAGGTAATACAGTCAGTGTTTCAAAAATCAAAACAATGTGTAAAGGTATACATTGAAAAGTCTTGACCCCATTAATCCCACTCCCCCTGCCTTCTACTTATTAAGCATATAAATATACGTATTCATATTTTCTTTTCCCCCACAAAGTTTAGCACATTATATACTCTAAAAAAAATGTACCCTACAGTTGCTTTCTGCAGTCCTAATTATGATCTATTTTTACTTTATCAGGTTTTATAGTGATTTATAGAATGGTATGGCTAAATCTACAGCTCCTAAGTTGACACCGTATTTTGGAGCAAGATGTTCTATTATTTTTACTGTTCACATTTAATGCGAATCATGGTTTTAAAAGCATCAAAATGTATTCATGATATCCTCTAAAGAGGAGAAAACAAACAATACAACTTTTGTACTGTCTGGCCCTTGCCCAGTTTATTGTTCCAAAGAATAGTTCTTTAGTCACTGTTGTGTCCTGGGTATACTTCATTCTGAAGTAATGTATTTAGTCTATAGCAGCTTCCTGCAAATATGTGAACAGAAGATCTCAAAGATACCTGGTGAGGTTTGGTTTCCTTTGACTGTCCTCTGAGGTCTTTATGGTGGTTGCTTCTGTTGTTTAATGCCCTTCACAAACTAGAGCTAACCTGATGTCATGAACTACGAAAATAGTTTTAATAACTGAGGGAAAGAATTGGAAAGTTCCATGCCATAGCAGACCTTTTGCTTTGAAATATCACTAATAATATCATTTAGCGCTCTGTAACCCAATGCAACGTTGTGCACTGATGCGGCCATGATCATCAGTACTAAGGAGTAGAAGCCAAGCTTAGGCACTCTGGCCCTTCCATGGGTCAAGGGGTTTGTTGTGCTGCTAAAACAAATCCCATATACATACATGTACATATTGTCCCACAAACATCTCCCAGTAGAAACCAGGACTCACTACACAATAGTCCCAAGAAAATTTTGGTTGCTAGGCCTTAGATGAGTGTTTCAGAGGTGGGATTTTGAAACCATCTGCTCCAGTGTTTCTCAACTGCTGTGTTGTGATGCATCAGTTACTTCACTAGAAGTCTGACTTCCCTCAAAACATTAATTTCATAAGGCCTGTGTTCCAGTAGGGGCTTTTGGTAGTAGGACTTGACTTTAACTTTTTGGAAGACAAAACCCCTTTCCCCTCCATAATGCTGGATTGGCAGTGAATGGACAGCCCCTGAAGAAGTAAGGGGCCTTAGCCCCCTCTCCTTCTCCTCCCCCAGAAGCTGAGCCTCTCTCACTGACCTCAGACCACGGGCATTTTCATAGCATGATTCTCCCCCCACCCCCCTACTGCTGCCAAATATCTACATATGTACCTGGGAATAGGAAGGCAGGGAACGCTACTCAGAATCATACTGAAAGCCAGTTTTGATGGAACTTTCTCTAGAGGAGAGATGCTTTTAATACATTTTAGACATCTCCCCAGTGCTCTCACAGTCACTTTGAGTTTTTTGCTTTCCAACAGCAGACGTACACTTTCATGCCATTTAATTTATTGAAGCCTTAGCTATGGTTGCTGCAACCTCAGGACATTTCGGCCCTCGAGGTCTTTTAAAAAGCCCATGTCGCTAGCACAGGAGCCAAGCCACTTCATTCTGCTCCACACTGTGTGCTCCCTAACCCGTCTCTTTCTTCTTCAGCTCTTCTACTTTGGCAACATAGATCCTCATGGCGTCCATCTTGGACATCCCTTTTTTGTCGTTCCATGCCTCCCACTTGGCCTTGGCTTTCACGTCTGTGTCAGGCGGGGCAGTGATGTTGCAGTCGCCCTCGGTGGCCTGTTTGTAGAAGCTATACACCAACAGTTTCTCCTCGTCACTCACAGGCGCCTTCAGCTGCTTCACAGCAGCGCAGGCCAGCTCAAACTCCACTTGGCACATTGCAGAACCCGAGGCCGGGCCCCTCTGTCTTTCCTAAGCGATCCCTTGAGGCTGGTGATTAAGCCTGGGGTGAAGGGAAAGGGAGGAAAGGAGACAGGGCAACAGGTCGGAAGGACACAGCATATTTGTATGTTCTCAGTGAGAAATAAAACGTGCGTTTTTATAAATTACACATTGCAAACTGGGGCCCACTGGGTTGGATCTCCCCGAACCCCCACCGTTGTTCTGGTTCGAACAGTGCATTTTCTGGGGAGAAGGACAACCATTAACATTTCAAAGGCATCTAGGATGCCAGAAAATTAAGAAGCCGCTGCTGTGGTCAGAAGGAGCAGCGCTGGGGCGTAGGTGAGGCTGCGGTGCTAGGTGGTCAGAGTGTGAGACCGGGAGATCCGCTGCGGG